TCTGGGGAATTGTAATGGAATTTTTTTGCTTTTTTCTGACATTTGGTTGACCAAACGATCACACCAAACTGTTGCTTCGATTGCAGGTTCATTCTCTAGAGGACTGTTCTGTTACCTTTTTATTAAACGGATATATTTAGCGACATTTATATGATGCTTTATTTTCTGTTTCATCTTGATCTCAGATGCATGCACTGAGCTCTGCAAAGACCTTTCTACAAAGAAAAAGGTCGGTAATAATGTTTCTCCCACTGAGACAAGTTGATAAACCTTTAAAGGTGCTGACATTCCTGTGTTATTTAGTCTGTATGCACGCTGTAACCGTCATGCTTTAAGCCTGTTGTGGCTGAGGACTGAAGGATTAGACACGCAAGCCTGTGGAGGGAATGTGAGGGACGGCTGTTTATAACACTGGGTTATAGAGATGATGATAAGAATTATGACTTGTTTGGATTCCACCAGTGATGTCTCTCTCCTGCCCTCCCCTCTCCGCCGCACGTGAGGATGAAGATTTATGGATGAACAAGGGAGGAGAAAGGAAAGGATTTGGTAATAGGGTTGGAAGAGGAATAAAGGGGTGCGAAACTGAAGATTAGATTTTATGGCACTGCTGCAAACTTTCCTGACGATTTGAATGAATTGTTATTATGTGAATAAAGCAGTCTCAACATAGGAAAACAATTGCTAAATGCAACTCTAATTTAGGGATGAGGAATCTGTGGTGTTCGGTAAACAAAGGCGGCTTTAAATGCCATATTAAGCTGTCATCCACTTCAGTTTTCCATTCATTTCCTTTTGTCTTCCAGCTCGCATCAACACAGCCTGCGCTCCAAATAGGCCAAGGCCTCTCTCAAATCACAGAGGAAGCTTGTAGAATAAGGGATAGATTTTGGGTGTGTATCCACTGCACAACACACTGTTTGGGTTGCGTTTAGTGAGTCTTTGTTAATGATATATTAAGGCTCAGTTAACTTCTCGCACTGTCTTTGTAGGAACTGATGGCGCAGTCGCTTGACTCTGCATCTGTCTGTAATCCATCAAATACTGGGTGCATACCTGCGGGAACTTGATGATGGCCTTGGTATGAGGTAATGCAACACTGGACCAGTTGTGAGTCGTGCGGTTTGAGGGGATGATGGGTGATAGGGGGGTGACAGGATGTTAGCCTCTTACTAGCCTGGAGCCAATGGGGTGATGGAAAGTTTAACCTTCCACTAAACAACTGCTACTCTACAAAAACAAGAAGATAGACGCGTATATGCTCAGTGAGGGTCGGTTTCACAGACGTCCTTTAGATGGGTCTGTAGTCTTAAAGATAGCCTCAAACTAATCTTGAGACTTCAGACAGACATCTAAATTTATCTGTTGCACAAACCTGACTAGCTCTTGACTATATGTCTACCTATTTTTTAAATTCTGTGTAAATAAAGACTTTTTTCTACTCAACTAAAACACATGACTGACTTAGCAATGTTGTTGTGGGCTGTCACGAAAAAAACATTTCAGCGCAACGCAGACCTGTGGCAGAGCTGATTTGCTCTGGCTTCTTAATGTGGCACTGAGACTCACTGGATAGTTTCTTTGGACAAACGGAAACAGAGACTGAAGCTTTCCTCACTGATGCATTTTACCAATAGTTTACTGCGTTCTCTTAAGACTTCCCTCACTCCACAACATTGTTAGAAAAACACAAATTAGTAATATTGTCCTGTTTTGTTGCCATTGGTGCCACCGGTCAGCAGGTGTCGCTGGTTGTTGTTGCTGTTGGAAGTTACAAGTAAGAAAACTGTCTTCCAACTACACAGAAACAACAACTGACAAAAGGTTGATGCTGCGATAATTGTTCGGAGTATATCCGGACAATCTACTACTAACTAAGGGCATCAAATGACAAAAAAAGAGGAAAAGATGGTTCATAATTTCAGGTTTTGTTATGGAGTTAGTAATGAGTACGGAAAGAGTTTTTAGGGAGTGCAGGAAATAAAGCACGTAAGTCAATAAAACGTTATTGCTGCAGTGAACGGAGCTATGCTGTGTGATGTGGTGATTTGGTGTTCTGTTCCTAATTTACCCACAAATCATGGCAAATTAGTCACTTAAGATAATAAAGAACTAAACAGCTTTGTGCAACAGATGCATTTTGACATCTATGTGAAGTTATTGACTGTACTAGTTTGATCTAAGCCATAGTCTAAGTCTACCATTGTGTAACTAGCCCCTTCTCTGCCCCGTCCTAAGAGGGGGAGGTGGGACGGGGTTGTTTGGGTAGAGGTGCTGGCCTCTGGCAGTATTACTGGTAATTAAAAATTGGGCTGTTATTTCTGCATACGCTCAGCAATGGAGCAGCGCCAGTGAACCGCCGCCTTGGCACCCTGCAACTATTAGCATCAACACTGGTGCACAGGGTCTAATTATTGTGTAACTGGCTCATTCTAAAGAGCCCACTGGTTCATCAGACAAAAAACTCAACAATCTATAGCTGTTGTGAGAAACAATGAGGCTTCTTTTTTTTTTTAAATGGGTCAACTAGGGGCTAACCAAGTGGACACACCCCTGCATTCCCAGAGGCATCTTTCCCTTAATGGGTCCACAAGGCCACAGCCGTCGCTTCTGCACTTGTGAACTATTCTTGTGGCTGTTTATTGGGAAGCGTGCTTCTTCCAGATCCCCACAGCTCCTTGAATCCAGGGTCAGCCTTAACCGTGGCGAGCAAGACGCCACAGGGGGGAGTCACATGAGCCGTAACCAGCTGATCGACAGTGGCAGAGGGGCTCCAAAGCTGAGAAAGTGTGATGAAGTTCAAGAGAGGGGCAACAATTTGGGATGGGTGGAAACACAAGAACAAGAGGAGCCAGAGAGAAGGTAGTAATGTGGTGTTGGGAATAGGATACGTGTGATGTCAGGACAGTGGATTGGCGAGACATTGGTAAGATATAATGAAATGTGGGGATGGAATTACTGCATGATGGAGAATAAAAAGGGAAAGGGTATAGCTCCTCTGGAGGGGAAGGATTTCACTTCCATCAGATGGACCGATGAATATATCTTATCACACGTCAGCACTGACATGCAACTCCAAATGTGAACCCTTACACAACTAGGAAAAGACACCTTTTGTTTTTAACTAAATGTATTGCTAAAGATTCGGTCCAGTTTTGAGTTTGAAAATAATAATAAGCAAGAGAGATCAGTGAACTTTTATCAACCTATGACAGCGTATGTGATACCTCGAATGAAATCCACAAGAAAGAAGAAAAAAAAAAAAAGAGTTCTGACTTTTTCACACAATAACAGCGATATGGTGAACTTCCTGCAGATTGGCGAGGGGAGATGGATGCCAGCGGAGGAGACAGCGTAGCAGAATGAGGGAGGCAATCAGGGTCAGATAGATTAGGTGTCTGAGGTGCAGAGATACGACGCAAGGTAGTTACACCTGACTTGGCAGAGGTCCCTCTAACAAATCATCCCGCTCATCTCTCCACTTTTATCTGTTACCTCCTCCTTTCCTCCCGCCGCCCTTCCCTCCTCTCCTCACGCATGCATTCGTTTCTCAGGTTTCAAGCGAACAGCTGATTTACGGTGCTTTGAGGTCACTGTTGACAAAGGCAGCAGGGCATATTTCAGACACCAATGACTGATACAAACATTACGACATACACTACCGCCTGTACAGTTTAATGCCACATACTAGAGTGCTGTATGAGTGGTTGGTTAATGTTTCAGTACGGAGGTTATCAAATGTTAGTCCACGTACTGTATATGGCTATGCAAGCTGCTGGAATCTCACATGTGCACTTTATGGTGCAATGACAGGACTTGTCAGTGATAAAACAAGATGTTTACTTTCTTATGAATACACTTGAAATTGATAGAATTGCTTCATCATTTCGGGTTAACTAAAAACTACATTAAAAAACAACAGAAATATGGTTTTGTGGAACAACAAATTTAGCAATTGAGTTCATTGGGTCCACTTTACATCACTGGGTTTATACATTTTTGGGCTCAACTTAAAGAATAACTACTTGGTCTCTGTATAAAACATAATCACATAAAATAATTACTATAGCAATTAATTTCTTAAGTTACAACCTTGAACTTTATGTCAGACATTGCTGTAAGCGTGCAGACTTTAGCCCCTTCACCCTTCCTGCTTTCCTCAGCTTAATGAGCCTCAAGGACCTAAGAGGATTCCCCCTCACACGACACATTTCTCCCCGTAAGTGCCTAAAACATAATTTTTTGTTACTATACGTGGTTTCCTTTCCCAGCTTTTTTTCTTTCCCTCTCTCCTGTCACATTTTATTTTTGATGACCAACATTTAATCAAATAAAAACAAATACACTAAACACATTATGTTTTTACTCTGTAAATATTGTACGTATTGGGCATTGAAACATTAAAAGCTAATATTGGGCTAAAATTGAGATTCAAATGCCGAGATCCCTTTTATCCTTTGCAATTCTGTTCTTGTTTGTTAAAATAAGACTCCTGAAAGACAAAGATAGAGACCTGCTGCACTGTCAGTAAAAAAGAAAGTAACATAGGGACACTGAAGAAGACTTTAAGAAGACATGTGCTTGTAAATAAAACTCATACCACAGATTACAGAGTAATGCTCACAGCTTTGATTCACATGCCAAGTAATGAATTGCATATCAAGATAGATGTCTTGATTATATTAGAGGTAGCAATAAAAATAAAGTAATCCGGACTTGGTTTCCCTCAAGCATCTTGGTATAATGTTAGTCTTGCTTTATTACCAGTGGGCTAACCGCTATATAAACGCTTACATTTGCATCATGATGCCGCTTTAGTCTAGTATTTATACAGAAATTCAAGCAATTAATCAGGAATGGTTTAAAATTATGGGTTCAAAATTCTTTGTTGTTTTCTTTTTCACTCTTCTGAACATTTCACTGCATCGTCAGCTTCAGTTCAGCTTTGGTTTTTGATCAGTGAGTTTTCTATTATAATCCTACAGTTTGGACCATCTTACCTGGCTTCTGGGGCTCAGGCATGTCTGTGTCTGTTTATAGTGATTCCTCTGAAAGCGTCTTCCTCCCTCCTTGTCTGTGGATCTGCCTGCTCTTCCTCCTTCATCCCTTTTTATCACCTCAACAACCCCCCCTCCTCAAACACACACACACACACACACACACACACACACACTTCCTCTGCCAGTCACTTCATCCTCCCCCCAACAAGTGGAACAAGGAAGGAAGAGAGCGACAGAATAGCTGTCACTTGAAACCTTGGCAGGAGCTGCAGGGCTTTGAGGAGGAGAAGGAAGACACCATGAGGGGTAAAAGCGGTTCAAAGCCATAAAGAAAAGTCCAGCCCTTGGGAAATCCTGCCAGCTGATTAACTCATTAGGCCCTGGAGCCAGAACATTAACAAACTGGCTGATGCTAATCACCAGTGACACTTTGATCGAGTGATGCAGCAGTGTCTGAAACTGCTCAGATATGTTACGTGTTTAACTGACTTGTAGTAGACCTCATGGAAATTATCAGGGGGGATGGTGGGGTCAAAAAAGAAGAAGGGTTAGGCATTTTTCCTTTTATCTGAAGGGAGTGTGGGGTGAATAATTTTTTCCATTCCCTATATTTTTTCTGTACAGTATTTATCCTATTCATGCAGGATTTATGTATAAAGAAGAATAGATACATCAAAATGGTTGTGTGAAAAACATTTTGTGCCCCATGGATCATATGCTGAGGATAACAGCAAGGTTTCTGACTGTTTTTCAGTTTTGAGAAACTGTAGATGTGGATCTCATCCCAGGTCGTCAAATGCTGATGCTGCTTGGTCACCCCGCCTGGCATCATATACAGAATCTGTATATGTATGTATGAGCTGACTTTTTAATACGGTTAACCTTCTGAACGGTCGCAGTTTGGCTAGGCAACAAAACTCTTAGGTTAGGTTTAGAAAAAGATGATGATTTTGGTTAAAATAAGTACAGATAAGTCACATTGCCATTACTGCTACAACAAATCACATAACAGCCCACAGCACCTCAAACAGACGCTGAGGTGTACATTGTGCCAAAGGGCCGTGAGAAAATGTTGGTATTTAACGCCATTTTTTCATTAGCCAACAATGGCCTCCACTATGTTCTGCATTACACATTAGAAATAGTACAAATGTATCACATAGAATTTATAATGCGTGTTCCACCAAACCCAGCCTGTTCCACAGATAGATGAAAACATTAGTGGCAATAACTGCTCATTTAGTAGCTCTTTGTTCAAAAGTAGAGCGCAGCTTGACAACTGCTAATCGTGTGATGTAAAAATTATTGTTCCAATGACATGTATATAGGAAAACAAATGTTCTATGTCCAAACAAGCTATCAATATCTTGCTTTTTTAAAAACAAATATCAAATATATGGTTCACCCAATATTTTTTGTAGAGTCCCCATCTGAAAAGGATAAGAGAGAGAGTGAAAAAACCTTAGAAATGAAAATGAGAGCAAAGCAGCAGCAGCAGCAGCAGCAGCAGCAGCCCTTGCGTTCCTACAGGCTCTGACAATCCCATTTGTTCTCCAGGAGCCGTAGCTGTCAACAGGGTATATTTTATGGAACTGGAAGCCCTCGGCAGGGATGTGAGGAACAAGGTCAAGAACAGCAGAAGGAGGTTGCTGACCTTAGGAATTCCTGGAGAAGTCTTCCCAGCCCATCACATACATGACTGTAGACACATGCATGCTTATGTTAAGAATTTCCATATATTTCACATGTGCTGTGGAAGAAATATTAGTTACGCAGATACGTGTGTGAGCGATAGAAGCACAACTGTGGCCTTTTTTATCCTCCTTCCTTAAATGGAAGTGCAGACCTAAAATTATAAACAACAGTCTTAAATTATGCATTCAAACAGCTTTTCATTTTCTATTCATTCTTCTGTATACAGTCATCCCTTTTTTTTATTCTGTGCTCGTTTTCTTGCTGCCCAAATTGCCCAGGCTGCCGTAACCTTGGCTATAACAATAAACATTCTCTGAGACTTTAATTTGGGGAGAGAACTTTAGTCAGAACAGAGGCAGAGATTGAAGAACAGCTATTTAAGGCAAGTGCAACTTGAGATTCAGATGTTCAAGGAGAACGAAATACCCTCGAGGAAGATTATGGAGGGCTGTTTGAATAGGACATAAAAGGTCCTTCGGTCTACTGTATATTCTAACTTCACGTTACTTGACTTATAAGCTGAATTATCTTTAATCAGTCGTTTTGATGCATTCGCAGCTCATCAGTGGCAATTTATACTGTGACTAAACGCCCTGAATAGTTTGAAATTATTCCTATATTGTGGATTCAAAGAGGATATAGGAGACTAACTATAGGTGTCCTACATGATCCAGTGATCCGCTGTTGAGGTTGACTCCAGAGTTATTTAACGCTTGCATTAGATAAGCCTCACTGAAGTACAAGTTAAGCCAACTGAGGCAGGTCCTTTCCACCTTCAGAGCGGCTTTCCCATGAATGATGCACATCAGTTTAGAGATTAAAGCTGTCAGCAAATAGTATTTTGTGTCAAAATGTGTTATGTTAAAATATTATATGTATTTTGGGGGATTATGGTGGGGAAAAGAAAGGCAAAAAATTCCAATTGATGCATTAGTTCTCTGCAAAACCTTAGGGGCAGCTTTCTGGATTCATAATAAAAGACAGACACAATAAGAAAGTAATAAATCAAAATGAATGAACACAGCTAAGCAAAAGAAAGTCTAAACATGTGGGTCTTGAATTGCTTTGTAAAGTTGTCCACAGACCTTAAGTCTGAAGGGAGAAAGTCCCAAAGGAGCTACGACCTTCAAAGTCAAGTTTAAAGTCTGGATCCACCCTGGGCCCCTCTCTGTCCTTAGGGCCCAACCAGAGATGCCCTACAAGAACATTGCTGCTGGGTTTTTTTATCCTTCTGTATCCCTTTGGTTAACATTGTCTTTGGCTCTGTCTACCCTCGAGAAGACAAAGACACAAACACACACACCTTCCTTATACACCAATCATCTTATGCCCTTTTTTTCATTCTCTCATTTTCTAACATTCCTTTCCCCATTTTTTTTTTTATTTTTTGTTTTGTTTTGCTTTATTTATTTAAGGCCCTGTCTAGATGTGTTACACACAGGAACTTTAATAGGTTGCATAGTCTTTAAGGCTAATTTTGTAAATGTATTTTTACTGTACCCTTATCTCATGTATATGTGGTTTATCTTGGACCATCGATTAAGATCTGATTAAAGTGCCTTAAAAAAATACATATTTCCATAAAAAGGTATTCAGACGTGTTAGGAAAGTGTTAGGACCTATAATGTTGTGTTGTGTCCTTCAGTGTGTTGAGTTTGTCCCTCATACTGTTATTGGGGTCATTATGGTTATAAAAAAAAACCCAGATAAAATGGGTTATATAAGACATAAGATATGGCTCATTGATCTATCTATTTTAAATAAAACTTGGAGGGATGAGCCATTGTAGCACTGCAGTAAAATATTTAAAACAATTTCTTGTTAATTCCTGTGACTGGTTAATTTGTCTGATCAGTACAGCATGTAAAATGCACTGACAAAGACCTCTGTTTACTCCGAACAGGCTTAGGAGAAAATTAGTTTTCAGTGATTAACCCCAAACTGTGGTGGCATCATGCGCCGCCTTATTTAAACCTCAGGACGTGTTTCAAAACATTTTGTTGACTTTCTTTCACATTTTTCATAATGCTCCATTTTTTAACAGCACACAGGCAGACAGGACGAGACAGAGTCTTCCTTCAAAGTGAAAGTCCTGTTGCCGTTTTCACATAAATAAACATGCTTTCATATTTGACTAAGAATAGTAAGGTGACACCGTTGTTTAGAGTGATGACAGAGAGTAATGGGCTGTCCCAGTAAGGGGGGGAAAGATACTGTATAGTTTCAAAGGCAGAGCCGGGGGGAATCACATGCCTCAGTCACCATATGCTCCATACAGAGCACCCCCACCTTCAAACTGAACAGAAGCCCAGAGGAGAGAAACCCAGACAGTAATATGATACACAGAAGTAATGGTGTGTGAAAAGTCCATCCAAACTATTATAATTAGAAAAGATAACCATCCAACTGTAATTGAATGTGTAAAATCAGAGAAAATCTGGTGCTTTTGGTTGATATCATCAGCTGCTGACTTCAGTTTTTAATATTGTTTATTATTGTTGACAAGAGGAGGCAAGGTTATTTTAGAATGTATTTTGTAGTCAAGCAAGACCTTTAGGACAGGTGGAAGGACTTTTTGTGAGGAAATAGTCTGAGATGCTTGTTGTCTCTGAGGATCTGACTTACGATGGTTCAAGCCTGATCGCTGTCACAGCCCCATTTACTATGTGATGAAATGGTGTCATACTCCTATAAGCTGCTTCCTGATTGTATATGTTTTTTTAATGTTGTTGTTGTGTTCTAACCCCCTTTTCTGTATTTGTTTGTATCATGTTAAAGTGTTGGGCAGAAACTCATTACTAATACATTTCAGTAATAATATTACAGTTACCGCTCTGAAAAATGATTAGTTACAATATTATTTTTGTTGTCACTCTCTACTGATTTAACAACAATTCAGTCGCATCCTTGGATTCATTTTTGTAATCATGGATGGAAATGCTTACATTAAGCAGCTGAAAATATTCCATTACTTTGATTTTAACAAATAAAACAGTTTTTTAATTGTTTTAAGTCTGAATTTTGGGGAGAGGGGACGCAATTAACAATTAATAAGTAAAGTAATAATATTACTTTTTAAGAGAGTAATGAGGAACTAGCCCAATACTGGCCATGTGTATGCCTCACAGTACCTGGAAACTGATTAGGACTGGTTATGTGTACCTGCCTGTCCGTTGCTGTATTTTATGTGTTCTGATGAAGGTCAGATAGACCAAAAGCTTGTTAAAATAAAGTAATATATTTAATGGATCTGAGTGTGCAGAAATATTTACAATCAGTGAGGAAATAGGAAAAAATCCTCTTAGTGGTTTTTATGTAATAGCTCCTCGACAATAGGATGGCTAATTTAGCCAAATCTGCGAGTGGACAGGGTCACTATGGAGCCACGTCTCCCATTTGCTTAATTTTTTGCCCGTGTTTTTGACCTCATCTAGGACATCCCTGTCATTGTCAAATGATGTGTGATATTTTTGCCAGTGATCTTCTAATGTGAGCCAAATTGTCATTCAGGACAGGACAGAAATTAGAGTACGACACCCTCCAGTGAGGTATTTTTATATAAGAATGAACAAAAAAGAGGTGAAAACAAGTTGGATGTTTTTACTTCTTGATATTCTAAACTTTAAAGGATTAACACTGGATTGAAAACTCCTTTTCAGCACTTTGATGCGTAAATGTAGAAGTTTAAAATGATGGATGCCTTTCACTTGTATCCACAGAGGTTTTTATGCATGTCAGCAGAACTCCTCAGCCAGGAATAAGCACTAAGAAACAAATCACATCAATCACATTTGGCAGAAACCTGCTGTTGCTTCTCTTTTCTCTCTGGTTTGATACTTTTAAGTTTTGGGGCGACGACCCCAATCAATGAGGTCACAGACACTGTGCCCCTTAGTTGATTCTTGGACTGTTAAACAGGGCTCTTGGCAACCGTAAACCCAGTTAAATTAGTAACTGGAGTCAGGATCCAGTGCGCGCATGCCCGGAGAAGTAAAACAGTGATCCATAAATTCTGGTTTGGAGGTGCCACATATTGGAGCTTGTGCTCGCTGAACCTGTTGAGGTAAAAGAACGCTACAAACAAAGCAAGCCAGAGTCACTGCCATATAACGAGGACAGAACTTTATGAATGCCAGATATCTGGTACATTCCCAGTGTAAAAACGGCATCTTCATCTGATCACATGTAAGCAGCTCTAAATATAGGAGTGACTGCATCTAAAATCCACTGGGAACATTTTTTTTTCCGGGAAATTGAAATGAAACTGAAATTCAATTGGGACAGTATAGAGGAGAGGTCCTGGCTGTGTTCAAACTGGGAACATTGTAATTACATGGTCAGTATCTTAAACCCAGAGGTCACCGTGAAGTCCCTGCTTGCAGATATAAGCGTCCCAGACACACTTGGGTACAATAGATGTGTCTATGCTGAAAAAAATAATAATAATTCAAGTTTTTGGACTAAAGGCAAATGATCAAATATCCACTGCAATCCTCTTCTCCAGTTTTTCTTTACATGTTTTTTTTCTGCTTATAGTGGTCACAGTTTTCCACACATAACAAACAAAATAAAGTTGAGCAGGAAAAACAAATCTGATCACAAGAGCTCATTCTTCTGGTTTGAGACACACAGATGGGACCTGCGGTCTATCCCAGTCACAATATAGTTATAAGCTCCTGATCTAGGTCTTGAGATCAGTGCAGCTCTCTGCTCTTTGTCATTGAGTATAAATTTACTCCTTAAAAGGACATTTTGGTAAATAAAACCCAGGCTGAGGTAGAAAATAGAATGCTGACTAAAGAATTTAAAAACATGAACAAGCCTTTTCATCACAGGACATAAATATTTATTATGCAGCTGATAAAATGGCACTTTTAGATGTGTTTGGAAAAGAGTGGGGGTGAGAGGAGGGTTGAGGGTCTTTTCTGGTCTGTTAGCAGCCTCTGCTGGTCCCGATGTGTCAGTGCATCCAGAATCGGGGGTGATGAATATTCACAGGTCTACATTACATTCATTTGAAGGTACAGTACTCCTTTTTAGTAAGACAAGGGTTGGTGAAAATGTGTTTTTAGTGCTGTTTCAGGTATCAAACCACTGATATTTAACTATTAATCCTATACATATTAATGCTCTAAATATAAAGGGACACTTAGATGTCCAAAAACAAAAATATGATTGAATAGATTAGAACATGTTGTGTTATTTTGGCACTCAACAACTCAACTTGTCTTTTATGTAAATTATCCATCCTGTTACAACTTTCTTTACTATAGCCAAAATATAGAGCAGCACTAGCTGGAATTTAGACCACCCAAAATAGAAATCAAACTTCTTTAATTCGCCAAGAAGAAGAAAATTGAACATAAATTGCTGCTGACATGTTACAAGACAGCAGTGCACACACAGACCCGGTTTATTAGTTGCATTCTGTCAAGAAACTACTGTAAATAAATACCAAAATTCTAAAAATACAAATTCAAAGACTAAATAGTGTTCCTGTGCAGCAGCACTGGCATAGCAGATGAAAACATTGGTATGTTCAGAAAAAGTGAAAAGTACAGTAAGTTGATATATATTGAGAGGTATGCATAAACAACCTACTTGCAAGTAGGTCAGCACATACCTTAAATAACTCAGCGTGCACAACTTAGCTCTGTGTGTGTTTGTGTGCGTGTGTGTGTGTGTGTGTGTGTGTGTGTGTGTGTGTGTGTGTGTGTAAGGGTTGAATGCTTTATGTTTGTTGTAACTCACAACATTACAATGCTTTTTTTAAAAAAAACATTAAGGAAATTAAGGAACTGTTAACATTTGTTCAAGTTAGCTAGACCAGGCCTACAAAAGCTCCCAGATGAGCATTTTAAAACTTTGCTAAAAAGAAAAAAGAAAAAAGAAAGAAAAGAAAGTCAAAAAAAAAAAAAAAAGAGATTACTAAACATGTTTGTCCTTTACATGTATTTGAGGATTTTACGGACTTTTATTATGAAAATCATTCCGGAAGTGCTAATGTTGTTGGCGTACTCTTGACACTCTCTTCCGGTGTCCTATATCTGTCAAAATGGCCCGTCTATTACAATTTAAAATTGCAGTTGTTTCGACTGTTTTGTTTGTCGTGTGTACGAATTTAGTTTGTTGTAATAACGGAAGAAGGGTAAGTGTGAAATTGTATTAATTTAAGCCAATCGTTTGACTGCGATTAGGCGGAAGCTGCACCTGTTAGCTCTGTAATTAGCATTAGCTTTGAGCGGCTGAAGGCTAACGGTAGATTTTATTCCTCTTTTCTTAGGTCGGCGATGCTATGGACACTGAATTCAGTGGTTTCTCCGTGCCCCTGGAGCACTCCTTTGAAGTTGGTGAGAAAGAGTCGTTTTTATTTTATCGTTATTATGTTGTAAAAGATGCTTTTGCTAATGCTGTTAAGCTAACTAAGCAGCCTACCGACGATAACGCCTGCACACCAAACCTCATTCAAAAATCTATCAGTTTAATAGTTTTTCTTAATGTATGGACTAATTAATTTACCTAGTTCAACAGAGGTTGAGATATTCAGAACTGCCAATGCGATCTATGAAACTCGGCATATAGAGGGAAACAATATTTTATTTACATTGTTTTTATTTTTATTAACTCAGTTTTCTGATGAGACTACCAACATGGCTCAGTACTCTTCCTGAATGTTCTCCGCTGAATATGACATGCTGACTTGTTTCCCAGTCATTTATTCACACTGTGCTGTCTCTCTCTCTCTCTCTCTCTCTCTCTCTCTCTTCAGATGATGTAGCAAAGTTTAAAGTACGAGGAGCCCTGGTGTTGAAAGCTGGAAGGGAGCACAGCGTCTCACTAACTCAGAACCAGCTATCCGAGGAAGACCGAGCCAAACTGAAGGTGATGTATCATAAAGATGGGGGGGGCTTACAAGTATTGTATTTGTGCCCAAAATAGAGATGACCAGGTGATGCTGTGATTCATTCTTTCCTTCTATTTTGGACGCATTATACGCTCATGGACAAGCACAGACTGTTAGTATGCAGTATGCAGCATTAGTAGTAGAAACAGACAGAAGGTCTTTTGGTTGGGAGGATTTCTGTGTGATCAGCGCAGCACGGCGTGAACCGGCGTCTCTAACGTGGTTGTTTGTTTGACTCCACAGGAAGTGGCTGCAGTGGACGGTCTGTACAGAATCCGAGTGCCTCGTGTTTTCCTGCAGGCAGACAGGCAGACAGAGCGACAGATGGATGGTTACCTCACAGCATTTGTCAGAGCCGTATGTATTACACTCGTCTTTGGCAGGAAATACTCTTCAGGAAAACACTATTAGGGAACCGAGAGTATTTGTACATTTAGAGTTTCATCAGTGTTTGAGAAGTCTATCTGCTTCTGTCTAACATATATGCCATTAATGGGTCTCCCTGTACTTTAATTTTAACTGGTAATGAAAGTTAGTGTAGTGTTTTTTTGCTTTGATTTCAGATATTGTTTCATTAATATTTTTTTTTTATTAGTTTGCAAGTTTATAGTTGTCTCTTAGTGCCATAATATAAGTGACAGTCCAGGTTAAATCAAATTATTGGTTATGAACAAAACCAGGTTACTTGTTTTTAAAGACAAAAGTACTTTTACCGATTTTCATTTTAATATTTTAAGTGTTAAAGAGAAACTTCACATAAATATTTTGCCCCCAGATTCACATTGTTGGTAGAGGAGACATTTTAAATGGCTGATTGATCTCCTGGCCTTTGATTCATATTTTTCAACTGAACCTACCAGCTTTTATGTTTTGGACAATTTTCATTATAATAGAAATTGATTCAGGTTTCTGTTCACTTTGAAATATCTAACCATAGTTAATCCAGATTAAACACTTTCTAAATGAGTGCAGGATATTGATCTAACAGATACATTTTCAACTAACATGAACCTTTATTCTGCTCTGATCCTCAGTGTGCCATGGTTGAGTCCCATCTGAGCGACGTCATCGCCCTCTACTCTGACGTCTCTGGGTACCTCATTGGTGTCTCCATAGTGACGTTACCCGGAGCCTGCAGGGGCACTGAGGTTGAGGATGAAGTTGATCTCGAAGTTTTCAACACCACACTTAGCATCATGGCTCCAGTCAATGCACCAGGGTCAGTCCTAGATTATATATTTGTTAAAACATTTTCAGTGTCTCATTTTGGGTTTCTTCCGTCTAATCTCGACTCCTTGATAAAGTTTGACGGCTCATGGTAGCACATTGCTACCATCCATATCTGTACCGGGCGTCTTTGCATCAGTGAAATCCTCTTGGGTAGTCTTTTCAGATGTCTTTGATTCAGTTATATTTGCCTTGGCGTTGCAGCTTCACATCATTTCCCAATAGGTAGAACAAGTCTCTCTGCACTTTTCTGCCTTTCAGATAGACTTTCTGTTTTGAGGTTTGTTTGAATGCTAATTACCAACTTTCTTCCAGACCTGAGACGGCTCTGTTCCTTGAACGCATGGAACAGGAAACTGAGAAGAAAGGGAAGAATCCACAAGAGCAGAAATCTTTCTTTGCTAAATATGTAAGTACTCCCACTGAAAAGGGTTGATAAGGCCAGCAGGCTGTGCTTAAAGAGCTACTCTGTTTGCTTCTGTCATTCCTGTTTAAGGGTGCTTTTATACTTACAAGTAGTTTGGTTCATTTGGTTCAAACCACAGGAAAAAATATGCATTGTGCAAAAGAGGAGTAAACATGAAGTATACGGTAACGGTAATACGGTAGTACGGTAATATCGGCTATACAAGGATTCACGTATGGGAATTTAAATTCCTGTGTCTAAAAGAAATTCATGCTGCACTTTCCTGAACTCGTTGAGAAACAAAAACCTCATGAAGTAATTGAGCATTATCAGTCAGGTTACAGGTAGCATAATTTTTTACTGTGTTAAATATTGATTTAATTATAGTTTTTAGCTAAAATCATATATCACGCTGTTGTTGCTCAGCTCTGCTTTGCTTTCCCACCATAAATGACCCACACCACTGGCCTGGACCCCCCTTTGTCGGCCAGAGGCAGCCTAAAAGGGGGGTCCACACATTGTTTGACAACTTTCACACCAGCCCAAGCCCAGAGTTTGTTTTAACCAAACCAAACAGGTCAGGTATGAAAGCCCCCTAAGTCCTTGTCATGGTTTGAGACCCAGCTCTGTACTGCCATGCGTCCCTGTGTGATGCTGTTCATGTTCACGCTGCCATTCTCTCCACAAAGTTCAGTTTTAAACAAACATGAACCATTTTTTAAACGCAGTGGTGAGGTTGTGTTTGTCTTCTGACATTTTGAGCTGTCAGTTGGAGTAAAAAACGTCTCTCCACTCAAGCGCCATGTTTTGAAACATTCCCACAGAGAAGATGGTCTCGCGTCCTATCGCTTGGCTCGTCTGAGCTCTTTTATGATCTCTCTGTCTTGTTTGGCTCTGTGCTGTGTGCATCTCGCTGTGTTCAGTGACCTGTGTTGACTCTGTGCTGTGCTGCATCCAATGACTGTGTGTTGACTTGGTGCTGTGCTGTGTTCCAGTGGTATTTGATTCTGGGAGGTGCAATCTTCCTCATGGCCACCAATTCAGCACAGCCCCCAGCAGGGGGAGAAGGAGAGCAGAGCTGATTCCCACTGAAGTACTGTTTTCTTACTTGTGGCTCGTTCTGTCCCCCTTCCTCCTCTGTCAAGTTTTGTGTTTAACTTCTAAGCAGTATGACTAACTGAAACCCACCCCCTTGTTCCCCACTTATTCCCTCTTCTCCACTCTTTTGAAGGTTTTTTTTTTTTCCAGGATCAATGCCAAATACATTCCAGACTGATGAATGCAAAGCTCCAATTTTCTTAATTCAAAGTGCTTTGAATGAGGAAGCCTCCACGCTAAATCCTCAATAGATCTAAAATCTTAATTGTCGGTGTTGAGCATGTGTTTGGTGTTTGACCCTGAGATTTCTTTTTAATTCTGCAGTCTCTCACCCACTTGTACACTTTATCTTTTCTTCTCTTCTGTTTAGAAAATAACCTAATCTGGGATGACCAATCTGGAACTGCTGAAAAGTGATCACAGTTAAATTTGTTGTCCTGAAAACAAATATCATTGTACTGACTACTTTTTCTCTCATCCTCTCCAGTGGATGTACATCGTGCCCCTCGTTCTATTCCTGATGATGTCGGGCGCCCAAGACCAATCAGGCGGTGGAGCCGGGGGCGGAGCAGGCAACGGAGGTGGCCGATGATCAACACGCAACAGCTTCTTTTTTTTGTCTTACATCTACTGAACAGTAATTCTCTTGGAACAGTTTTTAATTGCTGTACATAATGCTATTTAATGAGGATAAATGTCACACACATATTAAAACTTGTACAGTAAGGAGGAGATATTGTGCCCTGCAGATGACTGCATTTTTAATACTAATGTGAAAATAAAGTATTTATTACTTGAACTGCCTTCTCTGTATGTCACTCAGACTAAAGATTTTAAGACTCTTGGTTCTCATGCTCTGAAGTTTAGATTCTACACCAGTACAGTAATATAAAAATGTAATTCAAATATACAAACATACAAACATATGGTGTATAATAAGAAAAAGGTCTGATTAGTGAAGGAAAAAACAATGACTGAGATATTGTAAAGTAGTCAATCATGGTTTTAGATGATTCCATAAACAAAATATATAATATATACCTGAATGGTTCTTCTGTACACCTGCTACCTAGGACTCATTAAGGAGTGCAAACATTACTCCTTGGAATAAAAAAACTTAAATTAAACCATGTACCAAATTATTCAAATGTGAATACCGAATTACTGAAGTTAGCAATCATCAAAATCACTTTATTGGCCAGTTATGTGCACAGAGACAAGGGATTTGACTCAGATTTGACCTTGTTCTCAATGTACAAACACAGACTAAACATAAATAAATATATAATATAATAATATATAATAAACAGGACTTAACAAAATAGACAAACTACTTTGTACAGTTATATATATATATATATATATATATATATATATATATATATATTATATATATATATATATATATATATATATATATATATATATATATATATAAACAAACAAAAATAACATTTGTAGACAGTAGACAATAGTGCAGAGTGCAAAGGATATTCAATTTATACAATTAATTACTGGTGATAACAGGTGAATAATGACAGCACATTTTCAGGAGATCATCATTAGTTCATTCCAGTAAAAACCCTCATGGCCACGTGGGCCTGTCCTTGACTGGTTTCCCCTCAGAACCACTTCTGTGTCAGTTTGCCACATAAAAACTGGGAATGCCTCCACTCAGCAGTGTAATCCTTTATAATGCAGGCAGGGGTTTACTCTTCGTTAGAACTAGAGCAGCTGCTGCTGTCCCCCAACAAGTCTCAACTGTTGTGACGGTTTACAGTATTCAGTTAATATGTTCACAGCATGTGCAGCATTTTCTTGCAAATGCTTAATATGCATGACTGTTTACAGTTTCCTGTTCTAAAGTGCTGTTGTCTCTCCCATCCTTCCTTTATTCACCATCCTCTGATGGCCAGGTGCAATATCCAAATCACAGAAGCTGACATTTTTTGATAAAGGTAAAATGTGTGATAAAACCGCATTGTATTGAAGTATTGTAGTACTGTAGCAGAGACAATTCTTGGTCTCCAGATTCACAATGTCAGATCGTCATAATCTTAATAGTTTTTTTCAGTGGAAAGGAAAATGTGTGATGCCAAAATGATCATTTGTACTAATAATGAATCATATTGCAATTGTAATATCAGTCAAAATAATCGATATAGCATTTTATTATTCCTTGAACACAATAATAACATTTTGAGACAGTGTATTCCAGACCTTTAAAGGTCCAAGAATATTATAATATTAAAAACAGGTTTTCACAGAATCAGAGTAGAATTCTCTTATACAGAAAATTTCTGAAATGTGTTTATTTCATTTAAAAATCTTTTTTTTTAATGAAGAAAATATAAAACATTTTTAAAAGAATGAAAAAAAAAGAATACAGTGGACTAAATCACAGAGGGAGATCAGTTTCTGTGTTACTTTTTTGCTGCATGTTATTTGAACTCAGGACCACATTAAATCTGCTCGTAACTTGCTGTCTGCAATTTGAACACCATCTTTTAGGTGTTTTTTCTCCACATAAAAAGCAGTCTTTAACATAGAAATGAATATATATAAAATTGTTGTAAAAAGGAGTCTGAAAAAATGGTCATACAGTATGATAACTTAATATAACATTATTTCAAAAAGCCTTGAGCCTCATACCTTTAAAGTGGCATTTGATATTTATGTTTATTTAAAAGTTCAGTGTGTAACATTTAGGGGTTTCTATTGGCAGAAATGGAATATAATATCCATAGGTATCCATAAGAATGGACAAGACAAACACTGGTTCTAGATAGGGTCTTTTGCGATTTTTGTAGTCATATATAGTTTCTCCTAGATGCTTGGAACGGGAGGGTGAGATTAGGGCATTGCAATCAGCAACTACACCGCTAGATGCTATTAAATCCTGCACACTGGACTTTTAGTTGCCATGTCAAAGCCAAACACTGGAATTTGAAATCCTACAAAAGCAAGCTGCGTGGAAACTTGGAGGGCAGCTCAACATCTAACAGACGGTCCAATCCAAACTAAAGGGCGACTACCAGTCTGTATAGGATCCTGGCAACAGCCATTTTTGGGGAGCTAAAGCGAACATCTGTGTCTTTGCTCCATCATCCTGCCAGTTATCTGTGTATTTATAATCATGAGTCAGGGAGGGAGAACACAGATTCAAAACAACATGGCTTTAGAAACAGAATGTCCTAAAATGCCTGTGTCAACATCGGCTATCCTCTTCCTTATGTCATTCAGTCAGTCCGGCTGTTTTTAGTCGCCATATCCAACTGTGGGGTATATCCTCTTATTTTAGGAGGCTCAGCATTGAGCCTCAACACTTCAGTGCCCTCTGCCCCCGTCCAATCACCAGCCAGGCCTTTCTCAGAATGACCCACCAAGTCACACGAGCACGCTGCTTTTCAGCCTCCTCCTCTTGCCATCTCCGTTGTACAACATGAGAAATAAGGTGATAACGACAGCTGCGGGGAACAGGAGAGGTTGAATGAGGCGAGCCGGACGACAAAAGTCATCTGTTTGTAAAGAGATCTGCTTCTGTCAGGTTGGGGGGGGCAGAGGTTAGACAGAGAGAGAGAAGCTGGTGCCCATTCTGCGTGTTTTCATGTAATATCACCAGAGTAACACGATGAGCTGGAATAAAAAATGTTTCGAAATGTTTCCGATAACACTCCAGCTCCATATAACATTGTTGAAAACACAATCTGGGCCGTGTGTGTGTGTGTGATTTTACTTTCAGCGTGAACACTAATGAATCTTGCAAGGCCTATCAACGTGCAGTGTGATATATGTTCATGTACCAGGAAGCTGGGGGACACTGACACTGAGACACATGACTGTTGTGATCTTTGGGAATGGAATCGTGTGTGTTTGCAGTTACATTGAGGCGACACATGCATGTTGCTTTCAACAAGTGCATAACAGATAACAGGAAAATGAATACTAGCTTAAGGTAATATACACCTACAAAAGGTCCAAATAAATGGAACTCATAACAAATTATATTAATAGAATGACTGATAATTAAGAGCAAAGGGATTTATTAAGCTTTTTTTTAAGGTTCATTTGGTTTATTTGGTTTGCAGTAAAAGGCATTCCTCTTGACAAAAAAAAATATAAAAACAACTCAGAAACAGACATAATACAAACATAATAAAGGATAAAGATAAAAGTAAAAGTAAAGGTGCTCCAGGCTTTAAAAATCAGGATTTACAGCAAAAAAGATAAATAACCCCCAGAATAAATAGGGTGAAAAAAATTAATAAAAATTGAACAAAACAGATAAAAAAACATTAAAACACTCTGATCTGAATGGTAGCTGCTGGAACTAAGCTATTTTCATACCTCTTTGTTGTCTACAGCTTGGGACTATAACCATCCATCCAGAAGGAAGAAGCTGAGATTCAGTGAGCAAAGGCTGAGAGTCGTCATTTCAAATCGAGCCGGTTATCCGCTTTAACTTTCTGCTGTACAGGGATTCTGGGTTAAACTGTCACTCACCAATCAGCCTACTAGACTATTTAACAATTTGATTGAGGGAGTTTCTGTTCTTTAGAGAAAGGTTTCCAAACCATGACACCAAAGAAAAAGTTAAAACTGATTCAATAAAAGCATGATAAAACATTGTCGATGTGGAAATAGGACGGTCCTCAAACAAAACAAACCCTGGTGCCCCTTTTTCAGTTATCTTCCACATTCCACTTAACTCTTGATGGATGGGACTCCATGTGTGTGGGGGTGTTTTCTAAAATCAATTATCATGTCCTTAGTTTTAGATATGTTTAATTGAAGGTAGGATTGTACCAACTGTGTGTTACAATTATAACAGATTGGAAAGGTGTTGGAGGTTGAAGGTTTTGTACATTTTAATGGATAAGATTGCTGTTTTTCAGCTTTTTTAAGATGTTGTTTAAAGGTCCAATGTGTAGGATTTAGTGGCATCTAGTGGTGTAACCCTCCCTTTTTAAAGCACGAGGCAGAAACTACGCCGGCTGCGAAACACACAAGAAACTAACTAGCCAAACTAACTAAAAACCATTTTTATTTTCCAGTGATCATGCACTAAGGAAATAATAATAATAATTATAATAAAATGTATTTGTAAAGCCCTTTTCAAGCTTAAGCACAACATACAAAACCGTACCACCTATGAACATACAAAATAAAACATACTGAACATTATATTCCATTTCTGCCAATAGATCCTCTTGAATGTTACCTATAATGTAGCACAATCTCTCCAGTATCAAGAAACCTTTTCCTCTACCACAGCTTCTCCTTGTGCTTCAACACAGTTCATCACTTCGGCCTCCAAAAATCATAATAAATCTCTTTTTGGCATGTCTGTTATAAGAAAAGTAGAGAGAAACCATGCTATCCAGGTTTATTGACTTTATGTATATACAGTACATCTTTGTCAGAAGCAAGAATTTGAGTCATTTACACATCGACTGGAGTTCTATATTTGTCTGCCTGATTAAATCGATTGGTTCTGTAAAGGCGCCAGTATGCTCCAGCTGAAGTTCCTGTCTTCTTGGATAGTCAACATCTGAAACCCCCTCCACACACCTTTCTGACATCAGAATAGGGGGGCTGCATCTGATAGGGTTGTTTTATTCACAAACGTTTCATTCAAAAGAACATATCATATAAAGAGTTCGGTCTAGACCTGCTCTATTTGAAAAGTGTCCTGAGATAACTTCTGTTATGAATTGGCGCTATACAAATAAAATTGAATTGAATTGAATATCTTTTGCGTGAACTGCGTGGTATCTAAAGCCCAGTTCAGACCAAAAA